GGCATTAGAAATCAGAACACTTCATTTAAACCTGGTTTTGTCACTTATTAGCTGTACTCCTTTAAATAATTCATATAATATTTTTAAAGACATAGTTCTATTATCCATAAAATAAAAATCATAATGATCATAAAACAACAAAAATACCCTAGCACAATAATAAAATTTCTAAAATGTCTGGGAATATATATGGCAAAAAACCCCACAACCAAATGAAAATATTTCCTTTCTTTTATCTTAAAAGGTATTTCTTTACGTGCTTTTCTTTAATGTTGGTAGTGTATAATTATTTGCAAATAGGTGCCTTATTAAACAATACTATTGAATAGCTTTAGATCATATCATTTCCAGATTATATCCTCCCGGAACTGGGAGATTTAATATTTCCAAATCTATCAGGAGATGCTGCTCTGGTTTTTCTGGTCCTTTTAACATTTTCTAGGTGCATTTGATGCAAATCTGAAATGCTACGTAAAAGAAATCATAGCAGCAAGGAAGGCACTGAATTCATGATCCTGTGATGAAGAAAGAAATACAGGGACCCATAGGCAGAAGGTCAAAGAACAGCTCTACTGAGGAAGGTTCAGCAAGCCAAGAGCAGGACATAGGGTCGGGCAGCACAGAGATCTCCTCCTCTGACAACACATACTAATACCAATACTGATACCAATACCGATACCAATACCAATACCAATACCAATACCAATACCAATACCAATACCAATGCTACATAGGTGCATGCATTGATATGGCTATTTGCTGTGTAGCACGGATTGGGCTTCACACTTTAAAAATATGACACGTTTTTAAAAGTTAATCTGTAAGAAGAAACTCTTACTGCTATTGCCATCTACCAATCAGGAAACAAAACCTACAGAAAGTAAGCAAGTTGCCTACATGGACAAAGTGAGCCCATGGCACAGCTATTTCATGCTATTGTCCACGCCCTTCACCACCAGGAACACTGTCTTCTGTTTGCCTGTCTTTTTAAGGACAGCCTGTCCCATCGTTAGGCAAGGACACCCTTCTAGGTGGGTTGGCATCGTCATTTCATACTAAGGTAAGAAAGGGATCCCATTTGACTTCTTCCTGGTCATTTCCAGGCTTGACATTAGAGCACATCCAGTTAACATCTAATTTAGTTTTTAAAATCACACAACGGGCTTATGTCTTACCTTTGACACTATCCCTGCATATCAACCCCAAATGTGGGAACTTGGAAGTTAAAGAGACACATTCACCATGCGGATTCCAATCATAACCCGTGGCAGGTGCCACTTCAGCACATACCTAAATAGAATGGCCACGCCAAAATGAGTAACTCACCTATCGCCCTAGAACGGAGCAAAACCCAAGATGGCAAAGAGAGAAACAGTGGCATTACGGAGGAGAAGTGCAGCTGACCACGGCCTTCTTGCTACTACTTCTAGCCACATGAGCACTATCTCTGCGCCGTGCAAATTTCTGTTCAATCTGGAGCATCAGTTCCAGGTCAGCAAAGGCTGTCCGAGGCCCATGATCAGACATCTTGACACTGGATGATGCCATAGGAAGGCCATTCTAGGAAAAAGAAGTCTGCAAGGACCGGAAGGACCC